GCGAATCAGAAATTCATTCATTACGAGCCCTCCCCTCCTCTAGTAAGCCCACCTTGTGATAGGTTCAAATAAATATAAACATAATTTTAACTGCCTGCACAATTAATAAAAGAATTACGTATAAATAAATACCGAATTATACAAATTAAATAAATGAATTACCATCTTGCACATCCTAACAATATATATATTTCTATTAAAATGATCTCCTACTGGCTACTTGCCTACTTCTACTGCATAATGAGGAAGGTTTTGGTCATTCATTCATTTGGTTAATTTCAAATATGAACGTTGGGGAGCCGTTTTGACAGCAAAGTTACAGCGACAGCCACTCTACTGTGGTGGGGCCCATCACTAGGGATGGCAATCAAACCCATGGCCGTGGGTACCCGACCGCCCCCGACCCAGTCAACGCGGGTAATCCCCGCTTTGACCGGGTATGGGGCGGGTATGGGTAAAACCCGCAAAAAGTTTGATGGGTATGGGGCGGGTATGGTTTTAGCCTCCCCCGCCCCATACCCATACCCATATCCGCCCCACCAAGAGAATTTCTTCACATATACAAAAACATGTGGATCAAATTTTAATCTATCAATGGTGATGAGGATAACTCAAGGAAATAAATAGTAGAAATGCAATTGAGTGACCACTTTAATCAAAACCTAATTCATTTCCCTCAATTCTCCTTTCACTCTTTCACTTTCCCCCTTGTCAACAAGATTATGTTAGTTAATTATTACTTAGTAGATGTATAAGAGTTAGAATATAATAATTTGAAGGTTTAATACATTTGTATAGCCATAACTTTCGCGGTTTTGACAATAATAGCCACTTTTTGAAAAATACACTAGAATAGCCATGCTTTTGAAACTAGGTTGACAACTTTAGCAATTTCTGTTACAAAGTTTAACGACGTTAGAAATGCCGTCAGTTAAATGGATGTTAATCTGATGTGGATGCCACCTAGACGACACATCAGCTCCAACTAGACTCGTTATGCCACGTAGATGCCACCTCTTATTTTGAAAAAAATATAATAAACTCCAAATAATTTCAAAAAATGAAGTATTATTTCAATAATTTTCTATTTCTATTTTTCTTTAATCCTTCCTTCTCGACGGGAGTCCCGACGACCTCGGCGTCGGCGGTGGCTGGACCCAATTCTGCAATTGCTAGCACAAAATCGACTGACAAAATTAGCTCTTTTAATTGTCTCTCATCTCCAACAAAGCGAACACCATATCAAGAACCTTCCTTACCTTGCCTAGATTAGCTTGTCCAATGACGAGAAAAATCCAAATGCCAAAATCCACCTCTGACGATAAGAATGCCCACTGAACTCATCACCAATAAATCCACCTCCGACGACTAATTCAACCCACTTCAAACAGCATAGAAACCCTACAATTTCGAATCTCACATTCTATCATGCAAGAAAGCAAAAATTGAAAAAGTATCGATTTTGACGCAGATTCGATAAGGGGTAGCGGCGGGTCGGAGGTCTACGACGATCTCATCAATTTCTCCGGTGAGCTCTGGAGTTCTCGGTGAAGGAGATTGGAAAAGGCGGTGCCAGATTTTGAGCATTGGCGGTGGTTGGGGTTTCACAATCGACGCTGCGGAGTGGCTCTCGTTCTCTCTGATCTGTTTCACTCTGAGCCGAATGACGAACAGAGGAGAATGGTGGATGAAGCGGCAATGACGATTGGACGGCTCAAGTGCACCAAGTGGGATCCCCGTCGGCCGACATCGTCTCCTTTGTCGAACGCGGCGTCGGCGACCTGACCGGCAACTCATCGCTCGAGTTAGTCGCGGACTGTCCGAGGAATCAGGTGCTGGTCACTCTCGGACTCTTCCTTCCCCTTCTTCCTTCTTTTCCCACTAGGGTTTCTGGGATTCAAATTAATTTGGGAGTTCAGATCTGAAGGAGGAAGAAGGAGGGGGATTTGGATTTTCTAATGAAACTTTGAGTGGGCAGCGGGACAATATGGATTGGAAAAAGGAAGACAATGCTTGATCCCGCTCCTTCTCGTTCTTCGAGTTACCCAATGACGCCGGCGGAGAGGAACTTTCAATCCCGCTGCTACTCGTGCAAAGGAAACCCAAATTCTTCTTCAACCTCGTCTACAGAGCAAGTAAGCAGGTCTGGATCGATGATTGCTTGGCATCCACATGAAAATTGGGATTAAACAGAGAAATCAGAGGGAGGATGAAGGAAAAGAGGTGGAGGGAATGGTGGCGGAGCTTGGGTATGGAGATGGCGGTGCGAAGCTTCGTGAAAAGGGGGAAGATGATGACTCTTTATTTTTTTTATTTTTATTTATTTATTGTTTTCTAATTAATTGTAATATAAAGGATATTTTCACGTGGCAAAGCTTTTGAGAAAAAGTTGCCACCTCATAAAAAATCGTTAGTCCAGTCAGCGCCTATCTTAATGCCGTTAAAGTTATGGACGGAATGGCTATTCTAGTGTATTTTTCAAAAAGTGGCTATTATTGTCAAAACCGCGAAAATTATGGCTATACAAGTGTATTAAACCTAATTTGAAAAATATTATACTCTATACTATGTATTAATGAATGTTTTAGGATCATATTCTTTGAACCATATTAAGAAAATGATCGTGTTTTATTGAATTCGTGATATAATAGGTATGTTTAGAGTTGTAGTTAAAACTTTTCTTTTGAATTTTTGGATAATAGTGTTGGATGTACGGGTACGGGTATTACCCATGGGTACCCGAAACCCACGGGTATGGGGATGGGTTTGCCGAACATTCCCCCGCATGGGTATGGGGCGGGTATGGATTTGGATATTTGAAGATGGGGATGGGGATGGTTTAGACAAACCCGCCCCAAACCCGACCCATTGCCATCCCTACCCATCACCCAACGTAGTTTTTTTCGAGCTTTCGTGATGGCGCCCCGTCATAAATCCCGTCTGCCGTTACTCTTTTTTCAAGTTAGGGTTGTTTGTTTCATTTGGGTTGGTCCAGTCTTTCCCGTTTTACCTTTGTGGTGGGCCCGTTTTTAATCTTCCCCCCTTTCACTGGCCCAGTTACCCATTGTTGGCCCGTTTTTAATCTTCCCCCTTTCACTGGCTCAGTTACCCATTGTGGGCCCGTAAGTGCCCTCAAAGAGCGGGGCCCTAATTGACAAATCAAACCCCTATCCATTTTGTCAACAACAAAAAGAAACACTTCTGTACTCAGGAATTATCTTTTTTGCCCTAGTTTTTGGTGTTTTATCTTCTTAATTAACTTCTTTACCCTCTGGCTTAAACTCAGAAGAAAGAAAGTGTTAAGACAGGACAGCGTTGCGCTTGACCCTAAATGTAAATACGCCACTTACATAGGCTGCAACTGAAATGAGTTGTCTAAGAAATTACTACTTAGATTGCCTTGTTATTATAAAAAAAAAATCGGATTGGAATGACATGCCGGATCAATAGAATTACTAATCAACTACAATAACGTATTGGCACGTTTGCTCGGATAGTCAATAGGTAGGTGGGCATGAAGATTGTTAGTGTTTCAATACTTTACCGCTAGAACCAATTTGGTAAAAATGATTGAATGTTTGATATCGTTTCGACCAAGATCAGGACCTTGATATAATACCAATAATAATTAAGAATTTGATTTGGACTTCCTTCGATTATTTCGAGAGTGAAAGAACCTTTCAGATGAAGGTGATGGTCTCCGTAATATGAGAAAAGGGTTCCTTCGGTAAGAAGATTTGGAATGGGATGGGTTCTCGACGAGAAACTTCACTATGAACTTTGATCATTGTGGGAAATTTTGCGGTGAGTCAAAAACCCGCGGATGAAGTAGATGTTCAGACATTGACAAGCTAATTTTTCCCCTTCCTACTTCCTCTTTGTTTAGTTTCTCGCTAGCCCTACGTTCTTGTTTACCATTCGATTATATATAATCAGTTCATTATTTACTTGTGTTCTATTTGTCATGAGTTCTTTTATCAACAATTCACAAACGAATAACGACTGACCATTTTCATTGTGAACCAAATTTCGCGGCCGACTGCATCGATTTTTATTTGTGAAGCAGGGAAGTGTTTAAACCGGCACCTCCTCCCAGGTCATCTTGTCTACCAGCAAAGGAGCAAAGTGGGCACAGTCTCCCGTTTTGGGGTAATGCGGAAAAGCGCCATCTCCCAAAACGGGCGGTGAGGATTTAGTTTTTTTTGTATTCCCCGAGAAGATCAGACGCCAATGACGTCATTACCGTTATATTTATTCACTCGCTCGGTGAATTCTGACGGAGGTGGAAGGAGACCGGAACGGTTCCCGGTGACGGGCTCATGCGAGATTAGAAGGGAAACGGAAAATAAATTAACCGTATATAAAATTGTACACGTGGATATTGGTGACCTGGAGCTAAAATGGGAGCCACCACGTCAGTAAACAACCTCGCCTCGGGGAGCCGTACCTTCTGCAAAGTCTAGACGAAACTTGCTAACTAGTACGCAGCGTTTTCATCGTCATCCATCATTCAAACAGTACAATAATAATCCGCACTATTCGCTTTTATTCCCTCGAAAAAAATAAATAAATTTAATTAATAATTTCCCTCTGTGAGTGGGTCCCTCTGTTTTCTAGGGGTGGACTCGTCGTCTCTTTAATCGGCGTTTGTCCTCGTCCAGGTTTTCCAGCAACCCTCTCTCTCTCTCTAGTAAATAAAAGAAAAAGGTCTGCACTCTGCGCTCAACTTTTACTCAGAAATCTCACTCTCCTCTTCTTCCCTCTCCACTTCACTCTCCCTCTTCCTCTCAAGCTCTGCAATTGAAAGCCCAAATCCGACTCTGCAGTGTACGTTACTCGCCCTTTACCTTTTCATCCTCTGTAAATCTGGCGGCGGCTCGCTCGCTGTGTTGAGTGATGACTCGCTCATTTGGATTTGGCTACTGACGACTGCTCTTTTTTTTTTTTGAATTTTTTTTTATCGCAGGTGATTTGACTTCCCGGCGAGATTTGGCCGGAGAATGGCCTATATGTGCGCCGCCGACAGCGGCAATCTAATGGCCATAGCCCAACAAGTCATACAGCAAAAGCAACAGAGGGAGCAGCAAGAACAGCAACAGCACAACCAGCAGCAGCAAAATCAGCTACTGGGTCTCACTACTTCATTCCCGTTGAATCCCTGGCCCACTAACCCCAATCTGGGCTACGGCCTTGCCGCTCCCGGATTTTCCGACCCGTTTCAGGTCCCCGGGTCTGTCGCCGCCGCGGGGGAGGCCGGGTTCCCGTTCGAGGGCGGCGTCGGCGGTGGCGGGTTTAGGTTTTCCGATTTAGGCGGTGCGGCGGGTGAGTTTGACTCGGACGAGTGGATGGATAGTCTAATGGGCGGTGGAGACTCAACGGATAGTTCCAATCTTCCGTCTGCTTGCGACGCGTGGCAAAACAGTGCCGATCATTTCGCTCTCTACGGCTCAGATCCCTTTGTTGCCGCTCGTCTCAGCGCCCCGGCGGATCTTAATCGGATCCTTTTCCCCGAATCGGGTCCTAAACCGATCCAACCCGAGTGGGCTCCACCGTCATCGTCTCCATCTCCTCCGCCGGAGGCGACGGTCAAAGAAGCGAAGCCGGCTGATGACACATCTCCTCCCCCTCCGCCTCCGCCGCCGCTGGCAGTACCAAAACCCATCCCGGGTCCCACCGTCTCTTCTTCCACGTCAGCGGAATTAGAGCCGTCGTCACCACCGCTACTGAAATCCCTAATGGAGTGCGCCCGGCTCGCCGAGTCAGAACCCGAATCGGCCATTAAATCGCTGGTTAAAATCCGAGACTCGGCCTCGGAGCACGGAGATCCGACGGAGCGGGTCGCGTTTTACTTCGCCGAGGCTCTGTACTGTCGGCTGTCTCAGCAAGCGGGCAAGAGCTTGACCATGTTGGAGACGACGAGCGACGAGTTCACTCTGTCCTACAAATCCCTAAACGACGCCTGCCCGTACTCCAAGTTCGCTCACCTGACGGCCAACCAGGCCATTCTCGAGGCAACGGAAAGGGCGACCAAGATTCACATCGTCGATTTCGGCATCGTTCAAGGGGTTCAATGGGCGGCCCTCTTGCAAGCTCTGGCGACCCGATCCGCCGGGAAACCGGCTCGGGTCCGGATATCGGGCATTCCCGCACAGGCTCTAGGACCTTCCCCTGCAGCTTCTCTGTTCGCCACAGGGAAACGGCTTCGCGATTTCGCCAAGCTGTTGGATTTGAACTTCGAGTTCGAACCGATTCTTGCTCCGATCGAAGACCTGAACGGAGCTAGTTTCCGGGTCGAGCCGGATGAGGTTTTAGCAGTCAATTTCATGCTCCAGTTGTTCAATCTGCTGGAGGAGACCCCGGTGGCGGTGGAGACGGCTCTGCGAATGGCAAAGTCATTGAGCCCGAGGATCGTGACGTTGGGTGAGTACGAAGTGAGCTTGAACAGGGTCGGGTACTTGGCTCGGTTCAAAAACGCGATGAGGTACTACTCGGCCGTGTTCGAGTCGCTGGAGCCGAGCTTGGGCAGGGACTCGACGGAGAGGCTCGAAGTCGAGAGAATGCTGCTGGGTCGGAGGATCGCAGGAGTGATCGGGCCGGAGGAGAAGCCTGGAATCAGAAGGGAAAGGATGGAAGATAGAGATCAATGGCGGGTGCTGATGGAGAGTTGCGGGTTCGAAGCAGTGGCGCTGAGCAATTACGCCATGAGCCAGGCAAAGATCCTTCTTTGGAACTACAATTACAGCCCACGGTACTCACTCATAGAATCGAAACCTGGGTTCGTTTCGTTAGCCTGGAATGAAGTCCCCCTGCTCACTGTTTCTTCATGGCGTTGATTGGGACAACTGAGAATTGGTGTTCTAGCTAATGTTCATCGAACTTTCTGATAAATTGGTGGGTAGCTTTAGCTAGATTAAGGTCTCTATAGTTTTTGGTTTTCGCCTTTGCAGCTGTGAATTGTTTTATCTGCGATCTCACCATTACCACTTTTAGGCCATTGACCTAATTCGTGACACCCTTATTTTAGTCCTCTGGTTGCTTATTGAAGTGTATTTGTTTTGCTTCTGTTTTGGTGTTTTTTGTTCCCTTTACCTTCCTTGATGAAAAAAAGATAGAAGAATGGGGCAAGGAAGGAGGAATTGAAATGAAATGGAAGAAGTTGAAGTAGAAAGGCAAAAGCTTGGTTGGTTTCCCTGTTAGGGTTTCATTTGTAACCCCTCTGTGTACAAAAATCTTATCTTTCTTTTCGATTCTGATTATGTCTCATGACTTTTCTCTGCCTAACACTCTTTAAGTTCGTAATGGATGATATTTAGACCAATATGATGTGGGTTCAATTTCCACAGATTATCATTTCGGCTTAAGACTGTTCGAGCATCATATGCAAGCACGAAAAGTTCGTTTTCGAGCTGTCGGGTATTCATAACGATCAAGATAGGCTCTCACTTATTCGCAGTTAATTGAAGTGTCTAAATAAAGAAATAAAAGAAGAGTAAAATCAGAAGCACAGTTTTTAAAACTGTGAACTCAGTCTGGAGTTTGAACAAGGTACTGTTACTATTCTGCAGATGAACTGTTGGGGAAGAAACAGGAAAACGTCCTTTTTTTTTCTTTCTTTCACCTTCTTCCTTCCTTCCTTCCTTCCTTCCATGATTGTATACTGGCGGCAACCCTTTAACCTACTACACTACAAATGAATTCCCCCCAAGCAAAACGGTCACAGTAAAAAGCTTCGATCATCATCTGTCATTATCTTTGAACCAGTGGTCGATGAACAGTTCCGTAAGCTACAGAAGATCAAATTGGAAACAGTAACGTATATGGTAAGCAGTGAAAGCAAAAAAAAAAAATTGCAGGTGGAGATGGCTTTCAATTACCCAAATGAAGTGTGTTAGATAGAGACCTCCTCCACAACCCAATAACAACGTATGTTTCTGTGAAATGACTGATCCATCCATATTATCCTGTTACACATATTTATAGGCATTCAGCAGAGTTTTAGCCATTTGCTTTCTTTCTTATCTGAAAAGTCGCTCTTTCTCTTCCTCTGCACACCCATCGTTTTCTCTTGAATCTAAGAAACTGAAAACGACTGCAACTTGTACAAAATCTGGGTCCCTCTCTGTGGCCTCCATCGACTACAAAATTATGTAGTCTGAGAAATGATCTGATAGCCCCATTTCCCCATTCTTCCCCACCACCATCTCTGGCGATAGTGGATTTAATGCGTGTCCCTTTCGCTCTCTGTGGAGGTAAAAGAAGGAAGGGGAAGCCCCAAAAAAACAAACAAAGCCAGGCCCTGTTGTTGAACCAAGCAAAAGCGGGGAAAGAGAAGAAAACAAAACACACTTCTGTTTTCGGAGCAAGTTTGCGGGGGCCGTTTGCCTGCCTACTACAGTGGCTAATCCGATTGTGACCGTTCAAGTTCCGTCCACCTCTGTTCTGATCTCTCCAAGACAGGGGGGAAATAGTGCGCTTTTCAGAGAGAGCAAAATGTTACAGAGGAAACGAGAAGGGAAAAGGGGGGGAAAAACTGGGCCGGTCCCAAGTGTGGGATTGCTTCACGCTTGTGAGATCCAGTCACCTTCAACGTGGATCTATGTGAGGTTTCTTTCCTTGCTGGAGTTTCCCTCCCACCGCGCACCACAGTTGCAGAACACTGTTCCTTGTTTACACTCTTCAGGACTGGATTGGTACGAGCCTGCCAATCACTATGGGTTTAGGTTTAAGATAAGCGAAACACCTAAAGTGTCGCGTTTACTCTGTCGATATGTTCCCGATATCTGATTTGTTTTGGAACCTCTGAACGAGATGTTTTGACGTTACCTAATGCCTAGGCGTGTCTAAACATAAGTTTAAGTGAGCCATTTTGAAATTTGAATCATAGTTATTAGCTATTTTGCGAGTCAATAAAATTAGGTTAATCTGGGATAGTTTTGACTAGTTAGACAGGGACTTCATCCCGATAAGAAATTTTTTACGAGTCTTATAAATTGCTCAGAACTTTTTCTGATGAATTCAGAGAGATTATGAAATTTTCGTACCAAAACAAAGTTGGGTGTCTACAATCTATGTCACCAAAGATGAATTTCTTGTTCTCCAAAAACAAAGATGAATTTTTTTATAGTAATGAGCCCAAAAAAAGGGAAAGAGGTTATAACCGGTAGGGGTGTTCAAACGGTTTGGTTACCATGGTAACCGTTTTAACCAGTACTATTTGGATAATTTGGTTTGGTTAATTTGGAGATTTGGTTTGGTTAAAGTTTTTAGCTTGTTTGGTTTTGGTGGTTTGGTTTGGTTTCAGATACTCCTAACTAGTCAAACCAAATTAACCAGTTAAGTAATTAGTCATATATCTAACATATATTATATACACATACTTAATACTTTGCATAACTACTCAAGAGTTAACGTTCATCCCTTTTAGACTCATAAAATAAAAAGCTCAATATTGCTCATATAGTGTATATTTGTATATGTAAAATGTAAACCACAACATATGAACGCCTAATTTAGATAAATTTCATACATTATGATGGATGAAAACTTGAAAGGAAGGTCATTTCCAGCCTATGATAATTGCTAAGAGACTAAGTCAATTTACACAAACACAACAATTCATTAACCATACCATTGTCATAAATTTTTGTTAGGTGAATACTTCTATACTAATCGTAAGATAATTGTCTCAGTTGCATGTATTTTTGTTAAGGGTCAACTATAACTACGTGTTGATTGTTATGTTTTATTCATTATATAAATTGTGAATTGTTGCATTAACCAGAAAATTTTCATCGTCAATGATAATGTGATTTTATATCGGTTAATCTGGTTAACCAATTAAACAAACCGATTAAACTTTAGTTTGGTTAATTTGGTTGTTGTATTAGTTTGGACGGTTTGGTTATGATATTGTATTCCATGGTTAATGGAATTTAGCCTTATTTGGTTTGGTTATAACCATGGTAACCATTTGAACACCCCTAATTAACTGGTGCCATAAAAAGCCGGAAAGATTTGTCGTTGGTGAATTGGAAAAAAAACATTATCTATATTTCATATATCGTAGTACGGTATATAATTTATTCCAAACTAGATGAATAATTATTCACAAAGCATACTTTAATAAGTTAAGCACCACGTGCGGTTTGCTTTGCTAATTTTTCTGACTAGTCACGTCTATTATCTATATGGTGCCTATTTTAAATTATATATTGAACATTCCACATATTCTATAAGGTCTATTGATCTGACACTAGGGTTGAATTTCACAATGGAGCTCAAGATCTAGGGCAAATGAAATGAGTCGATGTTGGTCTAAATAAGGCCATTCAGAAGAATAGTAGATCCTGAATGCAGCCACCCTAAGATTGGATTGGTGCTGCTGCTGGACCATTGTGCGCACTTCAATGAATTTAGGCCTTAAATTTATGCCCCTCTAGTGCCCTTCTTTCTTTGTTAGTGTTTACAGGGCAACGGTCCAATTTTTTACCTGAAAATGGTAGCTTCTTAATAGATCTCTGCCCCCGCAATCTACCAAGGGATGAATGGCGGTAAAGGTAAAATGGTAAAAGGGATGGTGAATCACTTTTACTGTTGTACGTTGCTCCAGAAACTTGACTGCAGTCACTGCACATTTAATAGAACCAACCAGTCATCTTTTGCACCAGAAGGAAAAAAAGAAAATGGAAACAGAGAGCTTGCCTGCCTACTATGTCACTCTGTGGTAGGTACGGTAAGAATGAAATTGCGTGAGCGTGAGGTCGAAAAAACTGACAGGTTACCATTTTACCAGGGAGCACGATATTTTTTTTTTGCATGGCTTTTTTTTGTTGTTGTAAGAAGACGGACGGCATTGCGTCCTAATTCATTAAAATAATATATCGATTCATGGATATGGCCATGGAATCGTACAACAGCCAGTTACACAGACTAGGCTCGTACACATCGAAGGAATGTGTACCAAAAGTGGCCAAATGACCCTTGCTTGCCAAGAAATCGGCGTCAAAATTTTCCTCTCTATACACATGTGATAAAGTAACTGCCCCGTCCAGATTCAACAGCTTTCCAATTCGTGCTGCAATCAGTCCGTGGCGATGGTATGTATCTGTTTGAACCTAACTGAGTGTAGGAGTGAGGTTCGAATGAGAGTTTGGGTCAAGAAGAAACGCGAGCGTCAAGTTCGATCAGGGAGATAGGAATTAGAGAGTTGAGCGAGGACCGGAGTCCGAACTTTTAGAAAGAGAAGTAATAGCTATAGAGAGAGAATGGTGAAAAATGCGATCCCCTCACCCACCGTAGTAAATGCCGTATTTATAGGCTTCGTTGTGGTGGGTGAGTGGTTGACCCAAGTGGGGATACGAGATGTGACAATTGGGATACAATGATGTGACCACTGGCACATACTAAGGATTTTAGACCCTGTCCAGGCCATCCCCTACCTAGGACGTGTCAGAGACTTGCCACTGGCCTTGATGTGACCACTTCCTGGGGAGGAAAGCTACGCTTCCCTCCTCTCTTGGCTTTGCCTGCGCTACGCTCTTCCTCGGCGCCTGTAACTCACATCGCGCACAAACTCTTCGCGCCAGGACGTGGTTGACTACGATGAGGTGTCGCGCTCGGGGTCTTCGCGCTGCTATGTCGGAGTCCATCCAGTTGCGTCCGTTCCTTGACGTGGCCAGGCCCGAGTCACATGCCCAACAATTGCCCCCCATCAGGGGGTGTTTTGCGAACACCTCCTGTTTGGATTTTTCCCTGAATGACTCGGGCCTGTGTGGTCTCCGTGATGCTGGTTTTTTTGGGTCTATTCCGCTCGTCGCGATCGGTTGGCTCCCGC